TGCCATTCTTTACTACTGTACTTTCTAGTGCATGATAGACTAAAAACGAATGGATAAAAGAAACTTCTATCCTAGAGATCAAATCTTATAGAATATCTGCAAGAATCTTATAAGAATCTTATGAATTTCTTAATGAGGCAGTCGATGGAAATGCGTAATTTATTGATAAGATTCTTGTAAGAAGGAATATAAGAATCTTATAAGATTCTCATAAGAATTCGGTAAGATAGATTATATAATTATTTTATAAGAATTCATAAGATTCTGATATCTGATAAGAATCTTATAGAAAGGATATAGTACAATTTCATCACATTCTTCTCTACAAAAATGCGCTACTTGAGATCCTTATTTTTCTATAAAGATCAGATTCAATTCGGGTTCTCTAAGTCGCTGAAAATAGAGCAGGTCGAATACTACCAATATGTATCAAAACTCTTTTCATAACTGTCTTAATAAAGCACTAGAAGCAATCATAAAAGAACTTCATCTACTAAGTTAAGATTCTGATAAAAAAGCGGGATTTATACAAACGAGTAACAAACCGTGCCCTGCTTTCTCATCTCACATATTTGTATTATTCGAACTTCATTTTCTTCCTATAGTCATGATAGGTTTGTGGAAGTAAATTCGGTCTACAAGTAGTAGACAGTGCAGACCAGTCATGAGACTGTCCGCGTGGGACTAAGGTCTTATTATAGAAAAAATAAATAAGTGGAAAGAAAAGTATTTTATTCACGTATGAAATAATAGATTATAGTAAGAAAGTATAATATAGAGTACTGATCACTAAAGAATGTGATGAAATTGTACCATATCCTTTCTATAAGATTCTTATCAGATATCAGAATCTTATGAATTCTTATAAAATAATTATATAATCTACCTTACCGAATTCTTACGAAAATCTTATAAGATTTTCATATTCCTTCTTATAAGAATCTTATCAATAAATTACACATTTCCATCGACTGCCTTATATAAGATTCTTATAAGATTTCGATAGAATTGCCGTAAGATTGGTCGACTAGGATAGAAAGCATACTGCATAAGCGAACAAACAGGCAGGAAAAATGACTCTTTTTTAGAGCATCGAGGTACATTTCTGCGACGCAGCTATTACGTCATCTAGACTTGAGGAACGTCTTATTTTGTACAGAGGGATTTATTCAATGTTTGTACGAAACGTCAAAATTAAAGGATGAAACTTTCAAGCGGATTACTGAAGATGCAAAATAGTTATATAACCGGTGACTATTTATCAGGTAGGTCTATGGAACTTCATAATCCTCATCTTTTGTCACAATTTCCTTTATTTCAACAAAAACATAAACGTTTTTCTACAAACTGCGCCGTTCCACAGGTATCGATGATTCTAAACAATAACTATGCTATAACAGATATCGTGATTAATCGATTTAAATCTGTGAGAACCTCCACTGAAACATTCAGAGATAATAAAATAATTAAGACTATTAAATATTGCGGAAATGCTTTCCGAATTACGAAACCATGACTGAAGCTCTACTTTACAGACATCCATCTAGTTTCCGATTTATTACCTCACAATAATCAACTGCTTTTGAGAAGTTATGAACGTCTCATCAGTTTTTTACTCATGTCAGCTGCTGCTCTTTCACACGCATTGATAGAAGGATGAGTAGCCGGGAGAGATATCCGCATAACTGCGAGAGCCTTTTCATAATAACTCAAGGCCTTTGAGCAGTCACCTATGTCACTGTAAACATTTCCAAGATTGTTGTATGTCGTAGCCACAGATGGATGGTTGGGTCCCAGTGTTTTCAACTGAAGTTCCAGTGTCTTTTCATAATAACTCAAGGCCTTTGAGTAGTCACCCATGTCACTGTAAACAATTCCAAGATTGTTGTATGTCGTAGCCACAGATGGATGGTTCGGTTCAAGTGTTTTCAACTGAAGTTCCCGTGCCTTTTCATAATAACTCAAGGCCTTTGAGTAGTCACCCATGTCACTGTAAACCAG